CGCATTTGGGCTAAATCAAAATTTTCGTAGACCAAACATAACTGGGACGAACTTATCTATAGCGACGAAAGCAAATTTGATGTCTGTGTGGGACATTATCGAAAGCGTGTGATTCGCGAAAAAACATAAGCATTCCATAAGGATTGTCTCAGAAGGACTGTAAAGTTTCCACAGGGTATCATGGTGTGGAATTGTATGTCGGCCATAGGGTTAAGAACTTTAAATTTTATTGAGGCCATAGTGAAGGCAGCTAAATATCAAGATATCCTACCAAGTGCGGCAAATTTATATTCATCCGCAGATTTTATCTTTCAGCAGGACGGAGCCTCATGCCATACGGCTAAATCTCCAAAAAATTGAAAGGAGAACATGACATTAAAGTTTGTCACATCCTTTTATCATAGCCCGGATATTAATTCAATAATATCCGAACTCTATTGAATTAATAAAATTAATTCGATAGAGATACTTTGGCATAAAATGAAATAACGCCTAAGAAATAACCCTCAGCTTACTTTGCCAAAACTACTTGATTTCATCCCTGAATTATGTGAAGGCCTAGTTGATATAATGCCTAATAGAGTTCAGGCTGTTATTCAAGCTAATGTCGACGTTACGCCTTATTAATTTTTATTTTAATTTGTTAACCTCTTGTTTATAAAATAGTAATCAACATAAAATATATAATTAAACTGTAAAAATAATTCCTTACATCATAAAAAATGTTATTAATTTCATATTTACAATTAAAAAAAAATTAAAATAAAAGACTTTCGGTAGATTGGTATTTTATTTGCAAAATAACTGCTTGTTCCAACATATAGTTATTAGGGCTCGTATTACTATAACAGTTGGAAAATGTTGACTATTTAATCATCATCATCATCTTGGTGTACAACCCTTAGAGGGCCTCGACTTCTCAAGCTTTTACGCCATTCTGCTCTGTCCCTTGAATATCATGTTCGATCAAGGCCGGCTACATGCCTGCCACTGCAGGCGGCTTCGCTTAATTATAGTGGTAATATCTTAAACACCAAAACGTATGTTGTAGATATTCTGCAGTTCAAAGTTATATCTACGCCTCATATTCCGTTCTCACAGACCGCTCCGAATATCTTGCATAGACCTTTCCTCTTTTTAGTTAGAGTCCATGCTCTGATCCATTTGTGAGAACGGGGGACTATCAGTGTTCTATACAGCCTTATACGAGTTTTTTGAGACAGACGTTTGTTAGCTAAGTACTTTGATAGACCATGATAACACCTGTTTGCAATTATTATTCGCCTTTTTATTTCCTCAGATGTGTTATTATTGGTGTTTAACCGATGTCCCTAGATATATGAACTCTTTGACTGCTTCGAAGTTTTGGTCATTGATGATTAAATTTGTGTCAACATTTCCAGCTCTTTGTGTTTGTGTTAGCCATGAATTTGGTTTTATTTTGATTTATATGTAACCCCATTCGTTCTGCTGCTGCTACTAGCTCGGCTAGGATTTCGGCAGTTCTCGCCCTAGTTCTTGTTATAATGTCCACGTCGTCTGCATATGCTAGAATTTGGACTGATCTATTAAATATTGTTCCCTGCTATCGAAATTAGCGCCTCGTACAACTTTTTCTAAGGCGACATTAAAAAGCTGACACGCCAGCGCATCTCCCTGCCTTAACCCCTATGTATTTTAAATGGGGTTGACGAGTCGTTTTGAATTTTTACTGCTGATAGCATCTTCGCATTGTCACTTTTATCAAACATATGAGTTTTTTTGGAATTCCTATAAATAACTCATTCATAGCGTTGTACAGACTTGGTCTTAAGACACTATTTAACCAATTAATAAATAAACAATAATTATTAATGTAAGAGATTTTTGGAATCAGATTTTGATGTCCTTTCAAATTAAGTGTCATACGACCCAATTTGCTATTTAAAAAAAAATGAGGGTGCCGCTGTCACCTGATGGGGTTCATCAAAATACGGAAAGTTTATTGTCTTTAGATATCAGAACAATTTTAAAAATAGACGTATACAAGCGAGGCAAGACTTTATCCTCTCACTTTGCACGTACAAATGCAAATGGTGGTGTTTTGCATGGGTAAACTGATGATGTCGGAATAAAGGTATTCCTAGCATCGTCTTGTAGCTTCTAGTAAGCGCAATTTTTGTACTAATTAAATTTTGATTTCAGAAGATTTTGCCGCAGACATAGAACTTACAGAAGAGCAACAGATAGAACTTTTGGAACAGTATGAAAACGAGCGAAAGGGTAGTCAAATGTCTTCGCAACAACCAATAGGAGAAACAGTCGTTTTTAAACAGGACTCCCCTAAGAGGAAAAACAAAGGATCCAAACGAAAGCCGACTACAGAAACCCAAAACACACAGGCCGCTACCCCAAAGGAAAACGATTTAAGCGCAAGTATAACCAGCACCCCAAGTAGCAACAGCAGCCTAGATTTGGATTGGGAAAAAATCAGTGATACAGAAAAGTAACTTTAGAGTAACTAATATTATACTTGACTTTGGAAACTTCAACATGTAGCTGAATGTGAATGTTTGTCACAGTACTATTTTCCCTATTGATAACTACGTACTATAACGTACTAGGTGATGAAAGATAGTTGTTAACTTGTACTGCTGGTATAGTTCAGACGGGATCTGTTTTGAGGTGAATATTTTTACATGATAAATAGATTTTTGCTGGAAAGTATCTTTAATTGAGTCAGGGAACAATAATATCGAGGTGCATCTCATAAAAATTATAAACTTACTAGAAAACTCGTGCTTTTGTGCTTTTACATTTTTCTTCAGTTTATACCTGCAACCACGTTAATTTGTTAACTCTGTTAATGTCTTTCATAACTGCGGAAATGATACAAAAATCTAAAATTAGATATTACTCTTGGAATTTTGGTAAATTTACCTATATACGAATCAATAAAAACAGAAAAAAAATGTTTTATATAATTTTTTTACAATACAATTCGCAATGTACAAAGTAAAGTACGACACCCTTCTGTATACGGTAGTTTTCTCAAATATTTGCGAGAAACAAAATGATATTCTTCGGGACGAAGATTTGCTTCAGCTCCCTGTGGATTGACTGTTAAATGATTGACTGATTGAGACGTGTCGGTCACTTTTCGCATAGAATTTCATCTCTTTTACAAGTCTGGTCTTAATTGAAGCTTTCTAGAGGTAAAATGGTTTCAAACAAAAGTACTTATTTACTCGTTCCTCCTTGAAGAGACATTTTATATCTTGCTGATTTTTGCACTTCACACCAATCTTTTGTAATGTATGTCTTGGGTTTCCGATTCAGCATGCCTATATCTTTATCACATTCAATCCAAGGCGTCCGCTTTTGGAAAAAAAATCAGTACTGTGTCAAATGTTTTTTATATGTACAAGATAGTGCATGAACCTGAAGACTGTCCAGTTTTTATGTTAACGATAGCACGAGTCAGTGAAAATTGTGAGATGACGTACTCCTTCTAGTAGATGATGTTCCACGTAATCATATAAACTGCTTTGGACGCTTTTCTCGATAGTTTCAGTGTAGCGTACTGTATGACATCATCATGTCGCAGACGATACATTTTTGAATAATATATATATATATATATATATATATATATATATTATATATATATATATGTAACAAAAGCTGATATTTTATTATTAGTCGCTATATTTGGGATTAACAAATTTTTGTTACAGTCCAATGCCGCAGTTTCAGTGTCATAATGTTCTCTTTTTTATTTAAATTACAGAAGGTTTGCGCTTTTAAGTAGATTTAATCTTTTCAGTGATTGCAGATGTTGATAACTTACAGACTTAGATCATTCTTTTTATTGGACGGTGAAGTTGTCATTTTTTCTTCTTCTTCAGCCTTAAGTAATCCAACTTTGGACATAGGCTTCCCCCAAATCAATCCAGTGTTTTCTATTTTCGCCACTTGCTTCTAGTTGTGTCCTCCTTCTTCTTCTTCATGTACCATGTCCTTTCAGAACGTTGGTTACCATCATAGCTATCTTAATTTTTATTCACTGCCACCCTAAATAGCATGCTTGTATCAACACCATACCAATCTCGCAAGTTCTTCAACCCCGAATATTCCAGCTTTCTCTGCTTGATACATTTTTATGATGTCTCTGCATAAAATAATGGAGGACATCTTAGGTCCTGCTGATATTCTTAATGTCATCAATCCATCTCATTTGCGTCTTTCTCTTGCGTCTGTCACTTTGGTATTGCTTCTAATCCATTGGTTTGTTTTTCTGTCTATAAGTCTCACCCCGAGCATTGATCTTTTAAATATTGTTCTATATTAATGCTTTTCAAGATCCCACTCAGATTTCCAAATCCTGCCCACGCTAACCTTATTCTTCTGGTAATTTTATCAGTTTGAATTTCTTTGTTAACTTTCATTATCTGTCCCAGGTAGATTATTCGCTTACTGTTTCTAAATTTATGTCGTTCAACGTTATTTCTCTAATGTTCGGTGTATTTGTCATTATTTTTGTTTTTTCCAAGTTCATCTTAAGACCTACTTTTTCCGAAGCTTGAAATAGTTGCGTCATCATGGTCTGTAGTTCTTCGAAACTTGTAGCGAATATTACAATGTCATCAGCGTATCTAAATGACTCAGTTTTCTTCCATTAACATTTATTCCTTTATCTGCCCAGTTAATGTCTTTGAACACGTCTTCCAGTCCAAGTGTGAATAGCTTTGGTGAGATAACATCTCCCTAGCGAACTCCTCTGTTGATTTGTATAGCTTTGGTTTTCGCATCTATATGTATTTTCATTGTAGCTTTCTTCTAAATATTATGTTTGATTATTCTATATCGGGAGTCTATCCTGCAGTTGTTCATAGCTCTACGCTGTACTGTAACCCTTTCGGAATCCTGCCTGCTCTACCGGTTAATAGCTATCGAGCTTCGACGTTAACCTGTTAGTTATTACTCTCATAAACAGTTTGTACATTTGGGACAGCAGGGAGATTGGCCTATAGTTCTTCAGATCTCCCCTGTCTCCTTTTTTGAAGAGAAGTATTGTCAAACTTTCATTCCAATCATCTGGGACTTTCCTCTGTGAAGACATTCGTTGAAAAAATTTTTCAATTTTTCGAGAATCATTTCACTCCCCTCCTTTAACATTTCTACAAGTATTCCATCTGGGCACGGAGCCTTATTGTTCTTTAGTTGTGCCATAGCTTGTTTTATTTCGAAGGATTCTATGTTAGGGAGTATATCTAAGTTGACATTCGTTATCTTTCTCTTAAGATCTTGCTTTGCAGTGTTATCTGGGTTCTTGTTTGATGAATATAAATCACGGTAAAATGTTTGAGTAACTTTTGAGATGTCATAACTGCTGCATATATTAATCCAAGAATATCCGAAACATATGTGGAAACGTTTCCTTGCACTAAGCGTGACTCAATCAATCGTGACTCAATGTGACTCAACTTTCTTCGGAATGACCTTATTTGTCTTATATGGACGGCCTTTCTGCATACTTCTTCCATTTTTTAGAATTGTCTTTATATTTTTGGAGCCATCTACGGATATGAAATATTTTTTATAAACAATAACTTTAATCACATCGACACACTAATCATTATTGAGCTTCAGCAGCTCAAATGTTCACACTTGTCAACTTTGGCAGTTAGCTGAACAACACTACACGTTTCGCACTGAAATTTTCAATTTAGATTTATTTAAGATGGATATTAATTTTTAGTACTGACGTTTGAAGGGGCCCTCTGTGTCCCGATATGCAAAACATAAACACACATCTCATAAAATAAAAAAATGGCATTTAAAATAAATTCTTTGGTCGTACGAATTATCCGTCCTGAAAAAAATCCTTAAAGCTGGAATACTTTATTGTATACATAAATATCAACTTACTTGCAGTAATTTTTCCAAACTTGGAAAATGAAAAAAAATTTAACTTAACTTAAATCGACCTAAATAATTAACACATTCTCGTTCTATTTGCTCCTAATGCGGTATTTTAACATATCAAAAAGTTTTTCTTTACTAGATATGAAGGTTGCAGGTATAAACTAAAGTCTTCAAAAATATTGAAAAAAAATGACTAGTTCGTCAATTATTGATGAATTTTGCAGTTAATTTTAATGTTTCTAACTAATTCTGTCTTAAAAGTAAAATTTAACTATAAAACTTTGTAATTTTTCACGCACTTACAGTTTTGAGATGCATATCAATATTATTTTTCTCTGTGTTTTACGAATGCTTTTAAAATGTCAAAATCGTCTACTTTTAGACAGATCCGGACTGGACTAGTATACAATATCAATATAATTCATCACAATCTTTAATATTTAAGCGGCTTTAATTTATTGATTCGGTTTACATAATGTATTTTTATATATCAATTAAATTGATAGATAGTTGGGCATAGCATTCAATGTTTTAATATCATTTTCTATTGGTACCGTTTATACTAATCGTTGTAAATGTCTTGAAGACCTTAAATACCAAGCCGGCTATCGTATTATTTAACTTAACGAAGTTTTTAAATTGATTTTTGTACATAAATTTATTTTTACTAACCAATACTGACTAACCTAGAGTTTTTGTCTAAAAATCTTACAAACTATTTACTTATCTTAGAAGTTCTGTACAGATAGACACACATGCCTATCTCTTGATTTTCAAGCACGCTATCCGAATATACCATCTCTGTTCAGAGAATCTGATCTATCAAAACATCTTCCACGAAATTTTTGATGGACAAAGGAACAATTCGTTTGGTGTATAGTGCTACCATATCCAATACAAACATTTTTCCATTATCATCATCATTGGTGATACGACCCGAGTTAAGCCTCGACCTTCCTAAAGTGTTTGTCCAATCTGTCCTAATCTGTGCAGCTTATTCATATATATATATATATATATATATATATAATATATATATATATATATATATATATATATATATATACATCCCGCCATCATTTTAAACTCGTTTCACGTTGCAGTAATTTAGCATCACCAAGAAAATCCAATATTTTCTATATATAAGTCGTGTATGTTCGTTTAGTGCACCTCTGTTGGCTTAGCACCGTTGTCGGATTTTCAATAGTCTGATTTTTTTATATATTTTATTTTTTACATTAAACCTACGTTTTAACATCGATCATTTAAAATCACTGTATTTCCTATCATTTTAAAGCCAATCGATGTTGCCGATAATAATACTTAAAATAACATCTAGATACATACATATCGATCCGTTTTGGGTGGGTCAAGTTCAAACAACGACATTGATACTACCTGCTAATATGTTGCGGTCTAACTGGTTTCTTCGTTGTTTAGATAAAAGGTATATTTATTTAACGTAGGTATTTTTCCCAGAGAATTATGTAGGGGAATATTTTACATAAATTTCAATTTACAACCTCTTTAATCCAAGCTATCGGTGAATAGTTTGAGGTAAATATTATGTTTTTATGGGATTACGCCTCAATT